TTATTTCTTATGCCTCTAGTCTGTTTTGCTTGGTAATGAACTAGATTAATTTCCTCTCTCAGTTCAGTCTGTTTTGCTCGTGATGGTAATTAGTGAATGATCTCTCCCTGTCCTTATCTTGACCCATAAGCTTTTCATTGTACTTTTTCTCCCCTGTCTAGGCATGAGGGGAGTGATAGAGCCGCTCTGGTGGGCACCTGGCCCCTAGCCAGGGTCAACCCACCACAATTCTATCACTAGAATTCTATAAACTACCCTTTCGAAATAATTTTATCAAAAACTGTGCATCATCCAATAATTGATTCTTCTTCTCTCTCTTTCTATTATCAGTTGCTGACAAGGCAGCCTACCTGATGGGTCTGAACTCAGCAGACCTGCTCAAGGCACTGTGCTACCCTCGAGTCAAGGTTGGGAATGAGTATGTCACCAAGGGTCAAACTGTGCAGCAGGTAACAACCACTTGGTGATTGGGAACTTCGTCCTTGAATTAGCATCATGAGCATTTTCTTCAGATCTGCATGGTAACTTTCTTTCTTTCCTCCTGGTATAGGTGCACAATTCAGTAGGTGCTCTGGCAAAGGCCGTCTATGAGAGAATGTTCTTGTGGATGGTTGTTCGTATCAATCAACAGCTGGATACGAAGCAGCCCAGACAGTACTTCATTGGTGTCCTGGACATTGCTGGCTTCGAGATCTTTGATGTAAGGAAAAGAGTTTGTTAAATGCTTCTTAGGAGAGCCATCCAACTATTAAGGAAACTCAGAGAAATATGTTGGTTTATTTTACATGATAGTGGAAAAATGATTATGCACTTATAGGAGTTCAGAAGCACGTGGCCATACAAATGTTATGGAGTTACATGAAGAACAATTCAGTAATAACAACTCTCCAGAAATACAAAAGTTCTTATAAGGCATAGAAAGTGAGTGTTAAAGATCCATCAGATAGACCATTATAGGCTGAAAATGGTGGCAAAGGAACACAGGCTTTCTGCAACATCATGTTTGATGTAGTAGGGCACCAAAATTATGTGTTTCAGGATGCCGTGAAAACCAAGGATTTTATCTGAAAGAAGAGAAAAAATTGTATGAAATAACTGAAATATTAAACTTGAATCAGAAACAAGTGCTGTAACATGCCTAGGGACTAATCTAAAATTTTTCCATGAATGTGCTTTATAACTGCGTACAAATTAGGAATATTTATTGCAAAGAATACCAGAAAATCATTTGAGAGCACTGACTTTGAAGTTTATCTTTCTTCAATATGAAGGGAAAGATGTTACTGAGAATGCTGCACATAGCACTTAGTATAGCGTAGGTTTCCCTGTTAGAGTTTGTGAATTTAAATTTCTCAAGTTTCTCTTCTTTCAACTTATGATACCATTGTTGCATGACACGAACAGAGTGCTGACATGAGAGAAGAGAGCTGCAGTGCTAGTCTTCAGATGCATGACATGCAACTACATAGAGTTCCTCTGACCACAGACACCTATTATGTTGAATAACACTAGTCAGTGTTAGGAAAAGGACACTTGCCCTACCATTGACTCTTTCCACTAGATACAGCTGTTAAGTAAAGGACAGATCAGGCTGCTCAGCTGTGTCTGGTACAGGAAAGATGCTCAGCTTGTTACAGGAAAGATGCTGTAGAAGAGTGCTACACATGAATTATAAGCTGACCTAACCGTAGAACTAGTCTGAGTGGAAGGTAATGGAGTAAATCTCACTATTCTATAGAAGTAGGAACACGGTTCAGAAATAGCTGCATCTGTCTGTTTTGCAGTTCAACAGCCTGGAGCAGCTGTGCATCAACTTCACCAATGAGAAACTGCAACAGTTCTTCAACCACCACATGTTTGTGCTGGAGCAGGAGGAGTACAAGAAGGAAGGAATTGAATGGACATTTATTGACTTTGGGATGGACCTGGCTGCCTGCATTGAGCTCATTGAGAAGGTATCCTTCCTGTTCAGATGCATTATGCATCTGGGAATTCTATAGTTACTTGGCATCAGTCTGCCACATTCACATCCAAACATACAGTTTTGGTTATTCAAAATACCTGAATATATAGCTTATTTTATCTATGAGGTTTCAACAACTTCATAGCAGCAGCTCTGTACTAATCTCTTCAAGAGCCAAAACACTGCAAATGTCCCAATAACAGCATTCTTTCATAACAGCTGGAGTTAGTTTCCACTATAGAGCCTGTAAATTTCTCTTAAGCTCTGATAGATTAATTTCTACCTAGCAGTACAGCTACAACTGAAGAATTATTATTTTTTTTTAATATTTGCAATATAAAAGATGGAACTTCACAACTTCCAGTTGACAGTTATCCTCTCATGTGCATCAGAGCAATAAGAGAGCAGTAAAGTTCATTACAGTACATGACATTCAGTGACTAAGAGGATCTTGAACAAAGAGCACGTTTATTAAGACATATCCATACACTGTGAGCTGTTTAGACCAAGAGTTTTTGTGAATATGACACTTTTAACTTTATTATACAAATTTTCTAGCACAAATGATGTAAATTTCCATCAGTCACTGAGCCTTTGAAAGTAAACTGACTAAGTATCAGTGTTTAACCTTGATATTTGGATTTGAAAAGACACAGCACTATTGCCTGATCGATACCACAGTCTTTATTTGTGATTTCATACGCTATTGAATATTGCTCAGCCACCTTTGTGTCAGAAGGCCAATTTGACATCTGTATTTCTTTTTCCTTCTTCCAGCCCATGGGCATCTTCTCCATCCTGGAAGAGGAGTGCATGTTCCCCAAGGCAACTGACACCTCTTTCAAGAACAAGCTCTATGACCAGCATCTGGGCAAGTCCAGCAACTTCCAGAAGCCCAAGCCTGCCAAAGGCAAGGCTGAGCCACACTTCTCCTTGGTGCACTATGCTGGCACGGTGGACTACAACATCTCTGGCTGGCTTGAGAAGAACAAGGACCCCCTGAACGAAACAGTCATTGGGTTGTACCAGAAATCATCTGTGAAGACACTAGCCTTACTCTTTGCCTCTTACGGTGGAGAAGCAGGTCAGTTCTATAAAACCTTTAGGTTCATCCATGCACAATGTACAGGGAGACTCACAGATAAACTTTTTTTTTTCATTTTTTTTTTCAATTCTGTAGAAGGTGGTGGAGGCAAGAAGGGTGGCAAGAAGAAGGGTTCTTCTTTCCAGACTGTCTCAGCTCTTTTCCGCGTAAGTACATAATTTGTTATCTCTGTTGATCTGGAAATGGAAAATAAACTCCCTTGAAATCTGAATAGTTCTTGGCTCTAGTTTGGTAAGCTTTAGTCACAGTTTTTTAGAGTTCTTGACCCATGTTCTTATAGTAAGAAAATCCCTCATGGCATTTAACCTCTGTTGCAGTGGATGCAAAGCTTATCCCTTTATCCACTACTTTACAATGATGTTGGCAGCTATGATAATAAAATTATCTTATATAGCCTAGAAGGCTACTTTCCTTTTCCGACAGTTTTCAAGGTGAAATATAGTCTTGTAATGAGATTGTTTTCCCTTTCTGATTAAATTACTTTTTCACCCTCCCCATGTCAGCTGCACACTCTAGCAGTTAGTCTGGTATGTGTGAAATATCCCCATATCTTGAGCTCTAGACTATTGACAAGTCAGAGGCTTAACAGTTCTTTCTCAAGCCTGGGCCTTCCTGGCTGGCTTTTCCATATGCTTCTCCCAGGTGAAGCCGCTGTTCTTCCCTGCAGGTATTCAGGACCATATACTCATCCTTCACCTTAGGGCTACCTTCTTCAAATGGCCTATTTCTTCTTGAATTGCTTTTGTTTTGTTCTTGGTCCCCTTGTCCAGCCTCCCCTGGAATAAAACACGGGCATGTGTGCCTGAGCTCCAGGAGCAGTCACGGGTACAGGTGTAGACCTCTCATGGGTGAAGGACAGTTGTAAATGTCTCCTTAGTTGTCCTCTTGTTCTTCTGTTCTTCCTGGTAGACTCACATTCTACATCACACATTTGAAAAACTGTGTTTTCCAAGATAAACTTGGTAGCCTCTGCCACATTGGGTTTTATTCTGGTTTGGGATCCACCATAATTGTCAAAACTGGCTTTTCAAACACGGCTTACATCACAAAAATACCTCTTTTGATATGGGTTAAAAAAATTGGGAATCTGCCCTCTCAGATGTGATTTGAGGCAGGGCAAATATTACTGATAGCTGTTCAGTTTACAAGGCTTTGGTCCACAGCTAGAATCTGTTGCCCACTTCTCCACTACTGTTATCTTTGTGCCTACCTCTGAATCACATATAAAAAAGAATCTTTCACACTTGGCTCCACAGGGAACGTAGAATAAATGCCAATATTCACTTGAATTAGCTCATTATTTGGAATAGAATTTGTGAAAGATATAAAATATAGTGATATTTCAAATAAAATTATGTCATTAGCATTGTCTATGAGCTTTGTACTGCAAAATGGCATTTTTTTTTACATTTGTTTTACCACAGTATTCATAAAATGGAAAAGAATACTATATTCATATGACTCCAGCAATTTTGATGGCATTATAGTAGTTTTACTGTAAAGCTGAATATGCAGAACAAACATTTACTAATATAAACTTTTGTTCATAATTCTTCAGGAAAACTTAAACAAGCTGATGACCAATCTGCGCAGCACTCACCCACATTTTGTGAGATGCATCATCCCCAATGAAACAAAAACACCTGGTAAAAGCCTCAAGTATATAGAGACCTTCCTGTGATACTGAAGATGCAGTCCGCAGTATTCATTTGTGCTCTGCATTGTTAGGTGTCATGGAGCATGAACTGGTGCTGCACCAGCTTCGGTGCAATGGCGTGCTGGAAGGGATCAGAATTTGCAGGAAAGGATTCCCCAGCAGAGTCCTGTATGCTGACTTTAAACAGAGGTCAGGTTTCTCCAGCATACTGTCTTCTTATAGCTAAGTCCACATGTATACAGCCATAACCTGGTGGGACAATTTAGGGCCATGTTATGACATTGATATATCTTTTGTAGACATGGGATAAGTACTCTGTTTTCTTTACTCAGCACCTGTTCTTTTGACAGCATTACATGACTCACTGAAAGCAAACAGGACATAGAAGTATCCTCCCTAGAAAGGTCCTGACGTCTGTTGCAAGGACAGCTGGAATCTGTATAAGCAGTTATCAGGGAGTAACAATGGTCTAGTGCTCCCTAAGAGAAGGAGAACTAGGAGCTGAAAGTGACCCCAGGGCTGACCCTCACCAACAACACCCAACAGGGTGCAGTCCAAAAGGGTCTGAACATGGTGGCCAGAGCTGAGAGCTGGTAACGCGTTCATTGACAATCCCAGACAGGGCTACCATTGAATCAGATCAAGGCGCCATCTGGGTAGTCCTGTCAGGAGCAGCAGGAGATGGGGCTAGAGACAGCACTGGAAACAAAGCTACAATATCCATACAGGAGCTCCATGGAGGAGACAACTACTTACAGTATAGGTCCAAGGTCGATCAAGAAAACAAGGACAGAGACTGGGCTGGAGAACAGCTATGATGTAACTCATGAAAGAAATGACATCTAAGGCCTAAGCTGAAATGGAGCCCTTGGGTCCGTGGTGGAGGCCCTAGGTGAGGCTGGTAAGGGCTGTTCAGACCTACTGGTGCCTTCAGGGTCCTGAGAGCAATGTGATTACTTAGAGACAGATTAGATGGTGTGCCAAGTTTCCTTCCAGTCCCAGCTAGCTCAAATTCCAAACTAATGCAGCTTTTTTTGTAACTTCTATATGTTAGTTATTTAAATAATGCATTCATTATAATATTTAACACAGTGTTTCCATTTTTTAAACAGTTATTTTACTGTCAGTGATACTGTAGTATCATCTACTCCACGTAGAATTATAATGGCTAACTTGTTGCAAATGTTGCTCGCGTTGCTCAGAAAATTTATCTCTATCTAATAAAGGAATGTCTCAAAAAATTAGTCAAGGTTCAGCCAAGACATTGTCCTGCCACATTGTCCAGCCAATAAGCTTTTCTTATAAAAGAATGTTAGCTTGGGTAATAAGAATATTCTTACATTCTGCTTTTTCCTACAGATACAAGGTGTTGAATGCAAGTGCTGTCCCAGAGGGACAGTTCATGGATAGCAAGAAAGCTTCGGAGAAGCTCCTTGGAACCATTGCCATTGATCACACCCAATATAAATTTGGTCATACCAAGGTACAAGTACATCTTGGTTAAAATGTAGAGATTTGTTACAGACATATTAAGATAGGTATGAATGAAATATGAATAGAAATGTACATTCATGAAAGCACTAGAAACAAAAACAATGCAAGGACTAAAGCAACAGGATGCATAAATAACCAAGGACATGATTGCCAGCAGTAAAAGTGGTAGCAGGAAGATGTAGATTGCACCAAGACCACAGGGTAGTCCCATAAGCAGACATTCTGTGCTCTGTTAACTAGGAGGATGGCAACAGAAAGACTGTATCCAAAAGATACAGAAAATGAGGAAACAAAAGAAAATGGACAGCAGCCTTCACTGAGTTTTGTGAAGTATGAAGCAATATTCTGAAGTGAAGAACATTCGGCAAAGTCATTGATTCCTAAAAGGGATAAAAAAGCTTGTCCAGTTACCAGTTTGTGACTGCCAATCAAAATAAACCTAGAGGATGTAGTGAGGAATTGGTAGATTAAATTCCTTGGGTTTTTGTATATCAGACAAGTCATACCATCCAGACTACCGGCACACACTGCTGTTTGTAATCATATTGGTGTGAAAGTGTGAGTGGTTAAAGTCAATTTAGAGAACTAAATAAAATAAAAATATCATCTTCCCCTTCCATAAAGTCTCAATTACTTTGGTAACAGTAATTCCTATGGAAATGTAATCTGTTTGTGTATTGATGACATAAGAGTGATGTCTTATGCCATCCTGTTTCTCAAGGTGTTCTTCAAAGCTGGACTGATAGGTCTCCTGGAGGAGATGAGGGATGAGAAGCTGGCACAGCTCATCACCCGCACACAAGCCAGATGCAGGGGCTTCCTGATGAGAATGGAGTACCAGAGAATGGTGGAGAGGAGGTAGACATTCTTCTTAAAGTTCATCTCATTGCCCATTGTTTCTGCAGGCATCACACTAACAATTCTTTCCATGTGTACTGAATAACTTGCTATAGGTGACTGTGCTTGAGCAGGAGGGGTGGGACAAGATGTCCTCCTGAGGTTTCTTCCAGTCTCAACCACTCTGTGATTCTGTGATTTAGTCATTCTGTGTTTGGTTTGAATTTCAGGGAGTCTGTATTCTGCATCCAGTACAACATTCGTGCATTCATGAATGTCAAGCACTGGTCCTGGATGAAGCTGTTCTTCAAGATCAAGCCCTTGCTGAAGAGTGCAGAATCTGAGAAGGAGATGGCCAACATGAAACAAGAGTTTGAGAAAACCAAGGAAGAGCTTGCCAAGTCTGAGGCAAAGAGGAAGGAGCTGGAGGAGAAAATGGTGGCCCTGCTGCAGGAGAAGAATGACCTGCAAATCCAAGTACAGGCTGTGAGTATCATCAGTGAACTTCATACTTAGTAAAAAATGAAGATCAAACACATCTTCCAAAGAACAGAATCAAATAGGACTAATTAATCTGCACAGCAGCCATGATGAAACTCAACTTTATTAAAAAAGGCCATATACATACTGTCATAGATGTGGCCTTGGTAGGTGATTTGCACTGGAGAGACATCCCCATATACTCAATGTAAAGAAGAAAATATCTTCAATAAAAGTATATGAGTGTATATAAAATATATAAAAATTAGAAACATACAAGACAGATATATCTAAAACATATGTAAAAACATATGTGTGAATATATAATATATCTACACATAAAGTAGATCTACACATAAATGTATATATTAAATGTATATATTTACAAAACTATATGTATATACAAACACAGTGTGAAGCGCATATATATATATATATAAAAAAAGTACATGTGACCATATGGTCACACTTTAACTAAAATGTTGTCTGAAATGTTCTAGCAGGAACAAGAGTAAAAAGCAGTATGAAAAAAATCCCGTCATTTCAGAGGCTTCTGAAATGTATGATGAAAAGCATGGGAGACATCTTCATCAAGAGAATACACTTGTAGTTGAGTAGGTTGATTTTTCTGAAAGAGCACTTCCTTCATGAATCAGGATGATGGGTTCTAAATCTGCACCAGAATTATTAACAGGCTACATAGCAATCATCACTGAGGCAAAGCTCACAAGCAAAACCTAGAGAATACACATAACTCCGTATAGAGCTTCACTGTGAAAATCACTTCAGTGAAGAATATGAAAATAATTATACAATGTATAATATTTAAGCTACAAAATTGAATGAGTGAAAAAATCACGAGATATAAATAGTAATAAGAAAAACTTAAATAATTATATCTATTGTAGGAAGAAGGTAGCTTGGCTGACGCTGAGGAAAGATGTGACCAGCTCATCAAAA